TTGTAAATGTCCTGGGCCCCAGAATGTTCATTCCTATATGTTGTAGAGATCTTGGGCCTCAGAATGTTCATTCCAATGGGTTGTAAAAGTCTTAGGCCTCAGAATGTTCATTCCTAGGGGTTGTAGAGGCCTGTGGCCGCAAAATGTTCATTCTCAGGTGTTGTAGAGGACTTGGGCTTCAGAATGTTCATTCCTATGGGTTGTAAAGGTCTTTGGTCACAGAATGTTCATCCCTATGGGTTGTAAAGGTCTTAGGCCGCAGAATGTTCATTCCTATGGGTTGTAGAAGTCTTGGGCCGCAGAATGTTCATTCCTATGGTTTGTAAAGGTCTTGGGCCTCAGAATGTTCATTCTTAGGTGCTGTTTTTATTACATCATGGCTTATTCAGATGGACTGGAGATGGTATTTTTAATTTATCTCTATTATTATCACTCAAAAAGTGGTAATTTTCATGTTTATATTTTCTTCCAAAACTATGATGAGAAAGTATTCTAAAGTTCCTATAACAATTAATTCAGAAAAACATAATTTATAAAGTATACAAGACAGACAAATTCAACTGGTCACCATGACAAAACATTAAAAACTTTAGGAAATCAAATTCTCAGTCAATGCGCCAATCTCAGGAATGGAGCACAGAAATACGTACTAATCAAGCAACACTACATACATCAATTTGATGGGCTGTAATTTTGGTAATACACAAGGAAGGTAATTTAATTTTAACATAATACATTGTTGTCATGGAAACCTTAAATAACAAGATTTTTGTTTCATAGGTAAATAATATGTGTTACCAAGGTAAATGCAGTAAGGGTGTGGTATATAATTTATTTTCATTCCATGAATTAAATAAACATTCCAAATTTAGTCCCAGTAGTGACTAAAAAGTGTATTCAAAGCAATAACTAGTTCTGTCTCATAGTAGACAGATATAATCTATGATACTTGAATTACTGGAGAAAAATAACAAAATATTGTTCTAGCAAAAAATCTCGTGATTCAACTAATAGACAGAGATTTAACTGGAGAACATCTACAAGGAAGGGAA